CCATCTGAAGATAGACTTGCCAAGTCTCTACATCAATTCCTCACACCAAGTATCCCAGAGGGACCTTGATGTCAAGGCCCCTGCCTGCTGCCGAATGGCTGCTCCACCAATGAAGTCATGTTTGGATTGTAAAATCTTTTCCCATACCTTTGATTTTTTGAACCAGCTTATTAAGATATAATTCACATACCATACAATCACTTATTTAAAGCGTACAATACAGGGGCTGACGCTGTGGTATAGAAGGTTAAGGCACCGCCTGCAGCACAGGCATCCCATACAGGCACCAGTTTGTGCCCCAGCTGGTCCACTTCTGATCCAGCTCCCTGCTAATGCACCTGAGAAAGCAGCAGAAGATGGCCCAAGTGCTTAGGCTCCTGCACTTGCGTGGGAGACCTGGAGGAAGCTCCTGCCTTCTGGCTTCGGATCGGCGCAGCTCTGGCCATTGCAGCCAACTGATGAATGAACCAGCGGATGGAAGATCCCTTCTCCGACTCGCCCTCTCCCTTTCTCTCTCTGTAACTCTGCCTTTCAAATAAATAAATATATGTTTTCTAAAAAAATACTGTACAATACAATAGCATTTAGTGTATTGACAGTAGGGCAACCATAAGCACCATCAACTTTTTTCACATGAAAAAGAAACTCGTACCCTTTAACTATCACCCTCTATCACCTCCATCCCGAGATAACCACCAATCTATTTTCTTTCTCTACATATTTGGATATTTAATGATGTTTCATAGAAATGGAATCCTAAACTACATCATCTTGTATGACTGGCTTCTGAGTTCAAGTTCTGGCTTTGCTCTGATTCCCACTTCCTGCTAATGTAGACCCTGGAAGGCAGCAGACCATGGCTGCAGGACTTGGGTTCCTGCCACTCATTTCAAAGACCTGGACTGAGTCTGGGCTCCTGGCTTTGGCCTGGTCTAGCCATTGCAAGCATTTGGGGAATGAGTAGTAGATGGAAGATGTTTCTCTGTCTCTGTCTCTCTGTCCCTGTCTCTCTCTCTCTCTCTAGGATTCTGTGTGTGTATGTGTGTCTGCTTTTCAAATAAAATGAAAATAACTTCTTTTTTTAAAATTTTTTTTGACAGGCAGAGTGGACAGAGAGAGAGAGAGAGAAAGGTCTTCCTTTACTATTGGTTCACCCTCCAATGGCCGCCGCGGCTGGCGCACTGCACTGATCCGAAGCCGGGAGCTTCTCCTGGTCTCCCATGGGGTGCAGGGCCCAAGCACTTGGGCCATCCTCCACTGCACTCCCGGGCCACAGCAGAGAGCTGGCCTGGAAGAGGGGCAACCGGGACAGAATCCGGCGCCCCGACCGGGACTAGAACCCGGTGTGCCGGCGCCGCAAGGTGGAGGATTAGCCTATTGAGCTGCGGCGCCGGCCAAAAATAACTTCTTAAAAAAATATTATTTCATGAGGGAATTAATGACCTACAAAAAATATTTGCTGTGGACACTCTAAGCAATTTATACTGGAGGCAGGATGGAATAGCAAAATGGTCCATGTTTCAACCCCAGCTCCAGCCCCTGCTATCCAGTTTCCCGGCCTCTCTGGGCCTCCCTTCATCAGTTACAAAATGACGATAATGATGGTTCCTGTTAATGACATAGCTGTTGAGGTGAGGAGCCACCAGTCCAGTGCTTGGCATTTGGGACGTGCACATAAGAGACAGTTCCCTTCCTCTCCTGTCCTCTCCTCTCCCTGGACACCCATAATCAGTGCCAAGACAGAGCTAGCGGGGTGTGTGGAAGGGACCGGGATAACGATGGTTAGGAGGAATGAAAACACTCATACGTAACCCTGGGTGTGTGCAGGGTGTAAACTACCTAAAGAAGTTGAAAGCCTATATCGTCGGCATCGAGTTGGGTCCCCAGTGGGAAGTGGGGGCAGGGCACAAGTATAACACGTTTGGGCTGGCCAAGCCCAGAAGGTCTCAGAGTGGGATGGAGGAATGAGGCTCCAAGTGTTGGGGCATGAGTCAGCATTAAAGGGGGAAGGAAGGGTGTGTCGGGACAGGAACGTGTCTGGGTAGAGGCCAGGCCGTCCCAGGAGCAAGGAAAGGTAAAGTGAGGTAGAGGGCCAAGAAAGGGGCACTTCTGGGACGCCTCCTCTCCACAGCCTGCCTTAAGGACTTGGTCAAAATGATGACCCAAATACTAGGATCGTCACCACCTGGGAAGGCGTGGGGGTACACCAGCAGTGCAGATTGGGTGGGATTTGGGTATCCACAGGCTGGAGACAAAAGTCAGGGCAGCCAGGGCCTGCTGGAGTGGCGGTGAGGTCGCTGTGGAATGGATCAGACCCCGCAGGCGAGGGGAGGCACCCGGGGGCTGCGGGTGAGCATGTGTGACCTGGCACCTGTCACAGATTCGGCCTCAGACACAGCTCAGGGCGGCCCATGAGCAAATGCATGTGGCTCCTTTTCTCCACTCCGTTCTCCTTACAGTAATGAAATATTTGTTTAAAACAGATTCAGTACAGAAATAAGTTGTCAAGAAGCAGTGTCATCTCTGGAGAGGGGTGGAGTGTGAAAAGTTGCTCCTGGGGCTCTGGCTTGGGGGGCTTGGTTGTCACAGTTTGTCATGCACAGCAGATATATGCAGATAACAGGTGCTTAACAGAGAGGCCTGGCAAAGTCATCCACTGGCTGGACTTAACCCAGAATTTTCCCGTGTCAGAGTGATGCTGGTTTTTAGGTACCCTAAATATAATGAGAGGGGCTAGTGTTGTGCCATAGGGTAAACTGCCATTTGCCATGCGAGCATCCCATTGGAGTACTGGTTCAAGTCCTAGCTGCTGCTCTGCTTCCCAATCAGCTTCCTGCTAATGTACCTTAGAAGGCAGTGGAAGATGGCCCTAGGACTAAGGTCCCTGCCACCCATGTGGGAGACCAGGATCGAGTACCTGGCTCCTGGCTTCAACCTGGGACAGCCCTGGCATTGTGGTCATTTGGGGAGATTCTCTCTCTCTCTCTCTCTCTCTCTCTCTCTCTTTCTCTTTCTCTCTTTCTCTCTTTCTCTCTCTTTCCCCTTTTCAAATAAATAAATCCTTTTCTAAAAATGATAGAAGGAATGGTGCCTCTAGCTGTACTCCTGGTGCTGCCAAGTTAGAAACCAGAGAGAACTCAACACCAGAGCTTGGGATCAGTGTGGTACAGTAGGTTAAGCCTCCACCTGTAGTGCCAGCATCCCATATGGGCATCGGTTTTTGTCCCAGCTGCTCCACTTCCAATCCAGCTCCCTGCTAATGCACTTGGGAAAGCAGTGAAAGATGGTTCAAGTGCTTAGGCCCCTGCACCCATGTGAGAGACCCAGAGGAAGCTCCTGGCTCCTGGCATCAGATCAGCCCAGCTCCAACCATTGCAGCCATTTGGGGAGTGAACTAGCAGATGGAAGACCTTTCTGTCTCTCCCTCTCTCTGTCTGTAACTCTGCCTCTCAAATAAATAAATAAATAAATCTTTTAAACACACACACACACACACATACACACACACACACACACACCCCAGAACTTGCAGAGACCCTGTGCCCACTCTGGCCCAGCCATCTCAGTATGCAAGTTAGGAGATGGGCTCAGAGTGCAGGCGCAGAGGTGCAGAGGAAGCGAGCTCTCCTGAGCCCAGAGGCTACACCATGTCTCACTCTCCCTTGGTGTCTCAGTGGCACAAGGCAGGCCCTACATGGAAGATAAGCTGCCAGTGCCCACTGCTTCCTCTTGACCAATGTCAGCAACATGGCAGGAGGCAGAGCCAGGAGCCCAACGATGCTGAAACAAAGCAGACCAATTAGGAGCACAGGCTGTGACCATGGACAAGATACTTAAGTGTCCCGTGCCTCAGTTTCCCCATCAACAAAATGAGGATCATCACACTATTCTCTGGAGAGTAGATTAGACAATGAACAAAAAGTTCTTAGGACCATGCCTCAAAGGCAGTAAGATAACTAGTATCTACATTTTTTTAGTAATTGTTATGAATACATTTTTGTGCAAAACCTTCATGACTCATAAAACCTTATAAAAATTCAAGGATTCAGGGGCAGCATTGTGGCACAATGAGCTAAGCTGCCACCTGCAATGTTGGCATCCCATATAGGAGAGCTAAATTTGAGTCCCTGCTACTCCACTTCCAATCCATCTCCCTGTTAATGTGCCTAGGAAGGCAACAGAGGGAGGCTCAAGTGTTTGGGCCCCCGCCACCCATGTGGGAGACTCAGATGAAGCTCCAGGCTCCTGGCTTTGGCCTGGACTGGCCCTGGCCATTGCAGCCATTTGGGGAGTGAACTAGTAGACAGATCGATTTCCCTCTCTCTCTCTATCATTCCATCTCTCTTTCACTCTCTTTTACTCACTTTATCACTCTTCCTTTCAAATAAATAACTTTAAAAATTTTATATGCATTTATAAAATGTAATAAATGTATGTATATAAAGTCGAGGATTTGCCACCATGACTCTGACACCAGTGATGGCCAGGCTGCACCTACAGCCTCCTTTCTTTATTCCTTTGACCCCACTCTTCATGCCTTTCGGCAGCCAGGCACCTCCACAGAAGCAGTACTATAGGGAGAGAAGGTTCAGAGGGTGGGAACACACATTCGCCCCTCTCGCCTCAGTGCCCAGCTCAGCAGATGCCAGGAAGGGGCTCTGCCTGACACACCCTGACCCTGCTGGGCACCACAAGGTCACGCTGCACCTGCAGAAGCTTTGATAGGTTCCTCTCCCTTTCCTATCTTCAAGAAAGTGTTTCTATTCCTCTTACAATTTGAGTCGTACGCAATGCCCACAGCTCACCGAGGCCTCCGCCAACACATTCAAGTACCCTAGTGTAAGTTGAAAAAGATGATGCCTCTTCCTTGAGTCATAATCATCCCACTTTGCTGGTAAAAGATAGTCTGTTGTCCCTACTGTCTTTGTGCAGTGCACAATATACACAGCCTTCTACTGCAAGCCTGAGGCTGCTACTCATGCATCTCTGCTCCTCTTCAGGTCCTGAAGCACCTGCGGCATCTGAACTTCACCAACAACATGGGGGAGCACGTGAACTTCGATGAGTGTGGAGACCTGATGGGGAACTACTCCATCATTAACTGGCACCTCTCCCCAGAGGACGGCTCCATCATGTTTAAGGAAGTCGGATATTACAACGTCTATGCCAAGAAGGGAGAAAGACTCTTCATCAACGAGGAGAAGATCCTGTGGAGTGGGTTCTCCAGGGAGGTACGTGCTGTCCATCCGGACACCGGTCACCTCTGCCGTTGCCAGAAAACTGTGCTGGGCTTTGCAAGGCCTTGGGCTTCACCTCTGGGCTTCCGAAGTGACGAGTCCACTTGCCTCAACTCACTAGCTCCGCATTGCCAGGGCTCCTTGTGAAATCCAGGAGTGTATAGGAGAGAGGAGACTCCTCCAGGCCTGAGCCCATGCCTTCTTGTTAAATTGAGACAATTTTACTTTTCACAAATATGACTCACTTATGAGACAGAGTTGTGTTGTTGTTGTTAAAACTATCCCCAGCTAGAGCAAAATAGTGAAGCAAACATGAACAGCACTCAGGTCAGGAGCTCTGAACTGAAACTGAGCGGGGCAGGCTACCTGGGGGTCAGGGAGACAAGGTGGTGGGCTGGAGGGGCTGCTTTTGGGGCTTGTCACAATGACTAGGATGTACCAATGTCCTTCAGCACTTACAGTCCAAGAGTGCTAGGTGTCCAGTCCATGTGGGACAGTTTACACAAGAAAGAATTGCCCCACCCACAATTGCCAATAGCAGCTCTTGAGAGAGCCTCCAGTCCAAAACAGCTGGATTTTCAAGATGAGTCCTTTAGTGATATCACCATTGTCCAGGGCCTGGACCATCCACAGAGAGGCAGTTCCCTGTCATGCAGACTCTCAGGGCTGACCTATAGATCAAAGGTCTAACTTGCTTTTCCTCCATGGGAGACTTATTACAAAGAGAAGGATGCTGGTGACAATGGCCATGCCCCCCTTCCCTGAGGATCACTGCCCCTGAAACCTGACAACCAGAAGCCCATCACTAAGTAAGTGTGCACTTAAGAAAAAGACACATGATGGACGGAACGGTGACCATTCTAAGACATTCTAGAATGTTCTGATGCTGTGGTTCCAGCTTCTCTGTAGGAACACAGACCCAGGAAGTCTAGATGAGACCCACCATATTTTTATTTGCATTTGCCTTTCTGTTATCACCTTTGAGCATCTTGGTCAACTTTTTGTAATATAACCAAAGACTCAATTTTGTGTTTTTACCAAATGCTTCTTAGGTTGCTGAATTTTTGATGTGATGGAACAGTTTTACCATTTCTTAATATATAGGATGAGTTTCCTTGCTAGAGTCACCTACAGATAGTGTGCAGAGAGTGGATTCTCAATTACAAATATGTTATGAGCTTTCCAGATGGAGATTTGGGGGGTTCAGAGGTAGTGTTCTTCTGCCACTAATTATAACCTTGTCTAAATGTTGTTAAGATTGATTTATTTATTTGAAAGTCAGAGCTACACACAGAGAGAAGGAGAGACAGAGAGAGAGAGAGAGGTCTTCCATCCGATGGTTCACTCCCCACATAGCCACAACGACCGGAGCTGCACTGATCCGAAGCCAGGAGCCAGGAGCTTCTTCCAGGTCTCCCACACGGATGCAGGGGCCCAAGGACTTGGGCCATCTTCTACTACTTTCCAGGCCATAGCAGAGAGCTGGATTGGAAGTGGAACAACTGGGACTTGAACCGGCGTCCATATGGGATGCCAGCACTGCAGGCGGTGGACGCCACAGCACCGGCCCCACCTTGTCTAAATTATCACACATTTCAGCTGGCTGAAGTGTAAGTTGATTAGCTACACTATCACCTGTTCACCCCTGTTAGATTACCCAGGTTGTCTCCCACCTCCATTAATTGATTGTCTCTAATTGATACACATCTATTCCCTCCTGCAGGAAAACTATTTCCTGTACAGTTCTCTCCAATCGTAATGTCTTCCAGGCTCTGCATGTCATGGGCTTAAACACTAGTAGATAACTATCCCCGGGAAGCCTCCTGAATTCCTCTCATGTTCCGGGAATAGCTGACCCAGTTATAAATTAAATCTATGGTTTCCATAGAAACATCACCTCAAACCTAGCACACATGATGCACTCAATCAATCTTAGGGTCAAGTCTGCTCTTTCTTTCTTTTGTAGAATTGGGCAATTCTTTCCTTTCGATTGTAAACTTGACTACAATCATGCCATTTGTGTTTAACTATAAATTATATATTAATAACTTCCCTAATAGCTACAAATTCATTACTAATATCAAATGAATAAATTCAGATAAGCTGAATTTCACCATATAAATGCAAAATGTCACCAATAGAGCATTTATGCTTAGCTAATGTTTTTAATTTACTTACAAATGCAACCCTTTAACCCCAGCATGTATTAAAAATCTGTCTGGAACTCTCTAATTAGAAGTTGGTGATACTGAGGTTCAAGGATGCAAAGGTGACTTCCTGGGCCACATATGTTGTCACTGTGAGAGATCAGACCAGACACCAAGTGCCCCAACTTCAACCTCAGTGCTCCATCTTCTACACTCTACTGCAGGTGATTCTTTCCTTATGCTACAAAAAATAAGGATAATAAGAGACATCTTAACCAGAGACTTGGAATTTAGATGTGCTTTCTTGGCCAGAATTGGCCAAGCATCTTTAGTAAGGCTGCAGGAGACTCGGGGACACTTGCAAGAGGGATCTTTCCAGTGGTTGCCTTGGCCCACTCTGTGCTGGTGGGATTTTTAGCTCATGAACGCTGAGAATGAAGGAAGGGGACACAGAGGATGGCATTCCTCTAATTCTTGCCTAGTCTAAGGCAGGGCTTCGTATAGTAAAATGTGCAGACTTTGAAGACCAACCTGTGTAACCTCAGCTCTCCAGCCAGGTCATGGTGTGACCTTGAGCCTGTTACTTAGCTATTATAAAGAAGAGAAAAAGAGGCTTAGCACAGACTGCTAAAAGCCCCCAGTATTTGTACTTCCTTTTTTCTTTAATGAGAAGACTCTGTTCTAGCTGGACACATGACCACCCAGAATAAAGATGACATTTTCCAGCCTCTTTTCTGCTAAATGTGGCCCTGTGACTAAATCCTTAAGTCAGAACGGAAGTGGCAATGCTGGGTGATGGCTTCCAAGAACCTTTGAGAAATTAACACAAGTGTTTTTCCCATCTTCCTCATTCCGTCCTCTGTCTTTTCTCCTGGAAACCAGATAGGACTAAGAGGCAAAGACCAAACATGTCAGAATAGCAGGGTAGGAAGAGACTAGGTCTCTAATGACAAGGAGTGCCGTGTCACTGTGGACTCAGCCCCAGACATTTATATCAGAGCTGAATAGTTCTCAATCTTGTTGGTACCAAGAGAAAACTATTAACCTCATTTTATGAAGCTAACTTAATCTTGATGTTAAAAAGCAAAAAAAGACAAAAACAGTACAAGCAAAGATAATTTAAGGCCATTGTTGTTTGTAAACATATCTGCTCAAACCCTAACTAAAAATCAGCAAACCCAGATCAGTAATACATAAAATATATAGCATATCATGACTTAGCAGAGTTAGCAGTGAATTTACACAGGTATAATGATAGCCAAACATAACAAAGTTCATACATGTAGCTTACTATATTAACAAAGTAAAAGACAAAAGTTCTACAATGTCCAGAGATACAGAGATTGTATCAATCAATGCTCTTTCAGATTAAAAACAAAAACTTCATCAATCCAGGAACAAAAAGGAATCTTACTTTGCCTTACCATGATAAAGGATATAGCAACCATCATTCTTTAGTAGGGAAAATGTAGAAGCATCGCTAGTGTGGGTTTGGGAAACAGGGTGCATCGCTTTGGTTCCGTGATCAAGCAGGTTGGTCACAGAGGGATTGAGAGAACGACTCTGGGCCAGCTGCTCACCACAGCTAAGCGTGCTGCTGTGAACTGTCACCCTTTCCTTGCCTTCATTTCCCAGGGCCCTGAGGGTCTTCACAAGCATCAGACTCACTCTGTTCTTCCTCTGGAGCATGATATTGATCATCTTTTGTTCAAGTTTTTCCAAACTCCTTTGTCAAGCCAGTATTGTTTTCTGCTAGAAGCAATGACAACCATTTTATTGCTTTACATGTTTTTAACTTTGTGAGATATCTCACAGAGTAGATTGGTGGAGGGGAGACTTACTGAAGACCCATTTTGGAAACAGTAAGACCCCTGCCATGTATTAAACATTATCCATGCATTATGCAACTAGAGCTAGAAAGATGAGTGAGGTTTGCTCCCTATCTTTATAAAAATATATACTTTTGCAACAAAGACTTCATTCTTGTGATTTATTCATTGTCTCTGAAACCTTTAAACTTCTAGGTAATAACTGCTAAATTTCTAGAGTAAAGTACTTAATTACTCAGCCTGATGAGAGGATGAGATAGAATTAGGACTTCTGAAATGGAGGAGAAATGACAAAATTGAATAAAACCACCTAAAATGTTGAAGGATCTTGAAATCTCAACAAAAGCACACAGCAAAAAGTGGTTTTGGTTTTTTTTGTTTGTGTTTGTATTTCTTTAGAAAAACCAATGAAGCTGGTGAGAAAAGTGGTCATCTATAGCATTGTAGCCTGGAGCTGTTCTCCAACTGCATCCGATAGTTTGGTTGTTTTTCTTTTGAGTCTTCTATATGGGCCATCCTATCATCTGCAAACAATGCAGTTTCATTTAGTTCTTTCCAATATTTATACACTTACTTTTCTGGTCTTATTTTACTAGCAAGGACCTCTAGCGCAATGCTAAATAACCGTGGTGATAGCGGACAGCCTTGCTCTAAAGGAAATGCTTTTAGTATTCTCTCTTACAGAATGAGGTTTACTTGAAGAGACTTTCTAAGTTGTCCCTATTCAAGTTACGGATATTTCTTCCTAATCCTTTTGCACTGAGTTTTTAACATTAGTTTGTGTTGAATTTAATCAAATTCTTTTTCTTCATCAACTGATGATCATATGTTCTGTCTCCATTAATTAATGCTATGAATGATACCTGTAGGTTTTCTAACTCTTGCCATACAGCCAACATGGTCGGGATGTGTCATCTTTCTTAAGCCCTTCTGGTCTGCTTGCATCTGCTTCCCAATAATGGAAAGTGGTGGTGCTCTTCCGCCAACCCGCGGATTCCTCACACGTTGTCTGCAGTTCCAGGACTCCTGGGTATTTTTGCCTCCCTGACCAGAATGTGCTGGTCTTTTCCAGAAGACTGGCTGCAGCCTAGTGGACCCCACTTTCCCACAGACTCAGAGAAGTAGAAGAGCCTAGGAATGTACATTCCCTGAGTCAACCGTAACCCGTGAGTGATGTGAAAATATAAAGCCCTAGCTTCTTCTCAGGTCAGGGCAAGCATGGGGCAGAACTTCTAGTCCCCTGAGGGACTGGGCAGAATCCATTCTCTAAGAGATTTTGCTCAGGTTCAACCCCCAACTTGTTCCCCTCTTCTGTCCTATGTCCTCCAATTCTGTCTGTTCCCTTTGGACACATTTTATTTATCAATTGCTTGCAGGGAAATCTTTAGGTCTGAAGGCAATCAGGGAAAAAATCCCACAAAGGTTTTAATTTTTCATACTATCCTTGTCTGGTTTTGGTAGCAGGATTATATTATGCTGACTTATAAGAATGAGTTGTAGAATGTTCTCTCCTTTTTCTCTTATTTTCTGGTAGAGTTTTCATAATGGTAGATTGATCTTTTTCTTTGGTATTATCACTTGTCTGTGATGAACATAAAACAGAGATCACCTCAAGTATGAATACATGGTGTATGGCTGGAGTAAGGGATGGAGCGAAGCATAGAGTTAAGGTGTAGTCATTGTCACAGCATGGCTTTCTGTTTGGGTGACAGACATTAAAGATGGCCAATTAGAAGGGATCCAGGGGTGAGCCTTGGTTTAGCAGTTAAGACCCAGTGAAGACACCTGCCTCCCACATTGGCATACCTGGGTTTGAGCCCTTGCTCCAGCTCCTGACTCCAGCTTCTTACTAATGCAGCCCCCGAGAGGCAGCGGATGGTGGCTTAAGTAACTGGATGTCTCCTGCCCACCTGGGAAGCCTGGATTGAGTTCCTGGCCTGGTTCTGGGATCTTGAAGGCATCTATGGAGTGAACCTGCAGATGAGAGAGAGAGCTCTCTCTCTTTCAAAATTCAGGATTTTTAAATGAAAATTAAAAGTAAAATAAAATTTATCCAAACATGAACCAGTAGCAATAGAAAGAAGCAAGGATTATGCTTAATTAAATTCTGCATAATTGAAGTCCATTAAGGAAATAAATAAATAAAATCCATGTTCCCGGAACTACTGCAGCTCCTGGAGCTCTCCTCTGGCATAGCTCTCCGACCCATTTACTTTCTGTGCCTATTCTGAGTGCCTCGCTGAGTTGTTGCAGAGCTCAGAAATTACCCTGTAATGCTTAAAATAAAAATACAGGAATTGCAATTCACCACAAAGTTCAGAGTCTCACTTTCAAGCAAATTTCCCCTTGTCTTGGTACCTCCCCTGGTGACTGTTTCTCGGTGTGTGAGTCCATGTTCCTGTATCTTTTGGTTTGTCTCAAGCTGTTGCATCCATGGAGAATTGACAGGTGTTTCATCCTGGGGCCCGGAGTTGATGGCAGAGGGAATTATTTAAGTAGAGTTTGATCACTGTGTGGACGTCCAGCAATTAACCCTCACAGAATGCCCATAGGCATCCCTCCCCTGCACAAATAACAGAATATCGGACCCCAGACCTCCTCTGCCTGGAAGGGCTCAGGTTGCCAAACTCCTCCCCCTAGTGTGTGTCTCAGGAGCTGCAGCCACTGACTTCTGTGCACTCTGTCCTCCAGGTGCCCTTCTCCAACTGCAGCCGAGACTGCCTGGCCGGGACCAGGAAAGGGATCATTGAGGGGGAGCCCACCTGCTGCTTCGAGTGTGTGGAGTGCCCTGATGGGGAGTACAGCGATGAGACAGGTAAAGGGACAGCCCCTCGAGGACGCTGTGCACTGTGTGGTCTGCCGTGGGCAGCCGGGTCGGTGAAACCCTTGGAATGAGACGGCACTTAGCATAGTTTCTCATTCATCAAGATTGTGTCTGAGCATGGTACAATGCTGGGCACCGAGAGGGAGCAGAAAGGAATGTTAAATGTCGTTCTGATACCATGAGACCCTCCAGATGCACCTGTTCTGCACCTGTCTCTCACTTGGATGCTGTCCTCCTTCTCTTCTTACCCAGTGGCCCTGAGTAGACAAAGTGCCAGCTGCTCCAGGCTCCAGAGGCAACAGGTCATGATAAGGTTGCCTGCTGGTGCCTGGTACTGTATTTACTGTCCTATGTTTTCCCTGTGCCTCAGGTCCTTTTAAGATGGGGATAATAATTAAACCTCTTACAAAACTTTGAGAGTTACATGAATGGGTAATGCAAATGGTAAATTCTAGATAAATCTTTGTTAAGTGCACTAAGGCAGTTTGGAAACATTCTATAAGGTTTTTTTTGTATCTACTTTTTTTTATTTTTTATTTTTTATTTTTTTGACAGGCAGAGTGGACAGTAAGAGAGAGAGACAGAGAGAAAGGTCTTCCTTTTTTGCCGTTGGTTCACCCTCCAATGGCCACCGCGGCCGGCGCACTGCGCTGATCCGATGGCAGGAGCCAGGTGCTTCTCCTGGTCTCCCATGGGGTGCAGGGCCCAAGCACTTGGGCCATCCTCCACTGCACTCCCTGGCCACAGCAGAGAGCTGGAACGGAAGAGGGGCAACCAGGACAGAATCCGGCGCCCAGACCGGGACTAGAACCCGGTGTGCCAGCGGCGCAAGGCGGAGGATTAGCCTAGTGAGCTGCGGCGCCGGCCACATTCTATAAGTTTTAACTGTAATTGCTATCTCCTTTCATCCTTGCCACAATACTGGGGTCGTTATTGCTTCCACGAGGAGACTGAGGCTCAGGGAGGTTAAGGGGGCCGACCGAAGCCCCACAGCCAGGGTCTCATGCAGACCACTGATCCCACAACCCAAGCTCGGGCCACTGCCCAACACTGCACACTTAGTAGACACGTGTAGATCCAATAGTCTGCAGCCTCCCTTGCTGGAGTGTGGGGGATGTGCAGTGAGGGAAGCACGGGCTATATGTATGGGGTACTGTGCCTTGATCTAAAAGGAAGGCTGCCCCGTGTGGCCACAAAGCCCATCCTCATAGCCAAAATAAATCAGGCTGCCTGGAAGGTGATAGCTATGTTTACCTGCTTCACCAGCTTAACCATTTTACTGTCTACGTGTACCGCATAACAATGGGTTGTGGCCGGTGCCGCGGCTCACTAGGCTAATCCTCCGCCTTGCGGCACCGGCACACCGGGTTCTAGTACCGGTCTGGGCACCGGATTCTGTCCCGGTTGCCCCTCTTCCAGTCCAGCTCTCTGCTGTGGCCAGGGAGTGCAGTGGTGGATGGCCCAAGTACTTGGGCCCTGCACCCCATGGGAGACCAGGAGAAGCACCTGGCTCCTGCCATCGGATCAGCGCGGTGTGCCGGCCGCGGTGGCCATTGGAGGGTGAACGGTAAAAGGAAGACCTTTCTCTCTGTCTCTCTCTCTCACTGTCCACTCTGCCAGTCAAAAAATTAAAAAAAAAAAAATGGGTTGTAAACCTCAGATACACACAATACTGTTCACCGAAAACAAAAACTAGGCAGAGTGGAATCACTCTGTAAAGAGCTGATGGACCATGCTAGCCCTCTGGTGAGAGGGCAGTGTCTTCTACAAGCTATCATCATGTAAGGGAAACAACTGCTCCCTACCCACGTGCAAATGAAAAACAAACAACAGAACCATCTAAGGTTCATGAAATTAGCTAAGTATGTTATTGAACGTAAATTGGAGTTTATTTTATTTTTGGTAATGTGAACATCACAATGATTTCATCCATAAAGAAAACTTAAAGTGGCACATGCAACAGCCTGGGCACCCACACCACCACATGCACCACCCACGGATTTATTCTACACCACACAGTAACTGATGACTCTTCCCTGGGCATTTTGCAGATGCCAGTGCCTGTGACAAATGCCCGGATGACTTCTGGTCCAATGAGAACCACACGTCCTGCATCGCCAAGGAGATCGAGTTTCTATCATGGACGGAGCCCTTTGGTATTGCACTCACCCTCCTCGCTGTGCTGGGCATTTTCCTGACAGCCTTTGTGCTGGGCGTCTTCATCAAGTTCCGCAACACACCCATCGTCAAGGCCACCAACCGCGAGCTCTCCTACCTCCTCCTCTTCTCCCTGCTCTGCTGCTTCTCCAGCTCTCTATTCTTCATCGGCGAGCCCCAGGACTGGACGTGCCGCCTGCGCCAGCCGGCCTTTGGCATCAGCTTCGTGCTCTGCATCTCGTGCATCCTGGTGAAGACCAACCGCGTCCTGCTGGTGTTTGAGGCCAAGATCCCCACCAGCTTCCATCGCAAGTGGTGGGGGCTCAACCTACAGTTCCTGCTGGTTTTCCTCTGCACCTTCATGCAGATCGTCATCTGTGGCATCTGGCTCTACACCGCGCCCCCCTCGAGCTACCGCAACCACGAGCTGGAGGATGAAATCATCTTCATCACATGCCATGAGGGCTCACTCATGGCACTGGGCTTCCTGATCGGCTACACCTGCCTGCTGGCTGCCATCTGCTTCTTCTTTGCCTTCAAGTCCCGGAAGCTGCCCGAGAACTTCAACGAGGCCAAGTTCATCACCTTCAGCATGCTCATCTTCTTCATCGTCTGGATCTCCTTCATTCCCGCCTACGCCAGCACCTACGGCAAGTTCGTGTCTGCCGTGGAGGTGATCGCCATCCTGGCTGCCAGCTTCGGCTTGCTGGCCTGCATCTTCTTCAACAAGGTCTACATCATCCTTTTCAAGCCGTCCCGTAACACCATCGAGGAGGTGCGCTGCAGCACAGCCGCTCACGCTTTCAAGGTGGCAGCCCGGGCCACACTGCGACGCAGCAACGTCTCCCGCAAGCGCTCCAGCAGCCTGGGGGGCTCCACGGGCTCCACGCCCTCCTCCTCCATCAGCAGCAAGAGCAATAGCGAAGACCCCTTCCCACAGCCCGAGAGGCAGAAGCAGCCGCCGCCGCTGGCTCTGCCCCAGCAGCAGCAGCAGCAGCAGCATCAGCAGCAGCAACCCAGGTGCAAGCAGAAGGTCATCTTCGGCAGTGGCACGGTCACCTTCTCTCTGAGCTTTGACGAGCCTCAGAAGAACGCCATGGCTCCCAGGAATTCCATGCACCGGAATTCCCTGGAGGCCCAGAAAAGCAACGATACCCTGACCAGGCACCAGGCATTACCCCCACTGCAGCGTGGGGAGACAGACTCGGAACTGATGGCCCAGGAGACAGGCCTGCAAGGGCCTATGGGTGGGGACCACCGGCCAGAGACCAAGGCCCCTGAAGAGTTGCCCCCAGCGCTCGTGGTGTCCAGCTCACGGAGCTTTGTCATCAGCGGTGGAGGAAGCACTGTCACAGAAAACATACTGCGCTCCTAAGGTGCATGTGGAAGGCCAGTCCAAGAGGAGCCCTGCAAGGCTGCCTGGGATCCCAGCAATGAGGAAGCGCCCGGCACCCCTTCCCTCTGAGGAAGAAGGAGTGATGGACACAGCCAGGGCCCGGAAGCGAGTTGCCCCGTTTGCAATGAGAGTGGATGGACTAAGGTTGACGGTAGCATTAAAAAAAGAAAAGCCGTGTGTTTCTGTAGTGGCAGATTCCAGATGGCCATAGTCAGATTCGCTGTTCCCTCACCTCCGATGTCTCCTCCTCTGTCCCCCACCCCTCACCTGACACACACACCCCACAACTGAACGACAAAACCAAGGCTTTGCGCTACTCAACGGCTCCCTCCTTTTTGGTTTCAACATTAAAATGCTTGCCCTGAAGATCATGGCCAGCCCGGTCCAGAGGCAAAACTGTGTAGACTGACATCAGCTTTTCCTGTGCTAGAGTTCAGATTTTGAGAGGCAGAGTGTCACCAGGGCTGCCAGCGTAACGACAATGGAAAGAACTTAAAATGTTCGAAACCACAGTGGGAACGTGCCCCATCCTATTCCTGAAAACCGTGTGATATGTGCGGTTGGTCTCCCTCCTACCAGCTACTACTAGCGCGTGACCTTGGGAAAGTGTGCGTCCTCCCTGCTGCCGTGTGTCTGGTTCTGTCCGGAATGTGACAGTGACGCTGGGTTTTGATTCCAGGATCACCAGGGCCGCCTCCAGTGGTTGGGAAGGAGCTGCTTGGATCCAGTGAGCTGTATCTGCAATTAATGTTGCTATCTGTAGCTCTGTCCTTAAGAACACACTCCTGATGTGATGTCCCCTGGACAATACAACCCGAGAAGAGTCACAGGCTGGCCTCTACAACGCAGTATTATTGAGCTCCACAGTCCTCCCTCGTCACCCCCTCACCCACCTGAGCTGAGCCCCTTGTTCGCCTTTGCAGGGTCCTGGGGATCCTGAAGCTCCCCTTTCCCTGACTCAAAGCAGCTCAGCGGCTGACTCCGTGGAGAGGGAGCTTCCGGTTGTTGGCCGCCTAACCATTGCTGAGTAAGAAAGAGAGCCCCACCCACCCGGTGCCATGGCGACGTCCCCCCAGCAATGGAGTTCACCTCCTCGGATGTGACCTCTCAGCAAGCAGACCCTGGAGCCAAGGAGACTGAGGTCAAGCCCTGGACTGGTCACTGGCATGCTGAGTGGTGACAGGCAGGGAAGTTGCACCTCTCTGAGCTCCCCCCTGTTTCATTTCTAACACGGGGGTGGCAATCACCCTCCTCGTGCAGAGCTCTTCTGTGGATTGAGATAATGTGTGTACTGCAGCGTGGTGCCTGGCCCATAATAAGCACTCAATAAATATTAGCTAATGTTATTGCTTATATCTTGATTATCATTCTTCCTTGCTTAATAGACAAGAGAGTATTTATTTACTTTTTAGGGTTCAGAGATCTATGCTTTTTTAAAGCACTTCTTATGCCAGGAGCACATAGGGAATAAGTGCTGGCAGTCCCTGGGCTGGCTTCTCTCGGTGGAGCAGCCTGACCCTCTAGCTGAGCCCATGGACCTTACTCTTTCTGATCAGGTTCCAGGAAGCTGCCCCAGCCTGCTCCGGGTACTCGGTATGCACATTAATCTCCTGCAGTTTACTTGTTTCACAACAGTGCCACCACCATGGTGGAGATACTGCAGGTGCTTCCAGTTTTGCAGTGGTAACGTGTGGGGCTCCTGCCTTTGTGCACGGTACGCGTCCCCTTAATGTGTGCAACATCACGGTTCTTGTAGATTCCCGTGTGTGGCCAAGGAGCAAGTCCATGGCGTCCAAAAGGCCCCTGGAAGCTATACTGGAGCCTCTCCTCTCTGCTTGTGCTGTCCGTCCTGGCCAATTTCTGAAAGTTGGTGCTTCAGCCGGAGGGCACAACTTTTTCTTGATAGTTCAGACTGTAATGACGAGTCCACGAATCATGATAACTTTCTCCATTATGAGTCCAAGAACTCTGGGGACTGGCCAATGGTGAGGCAGCCAGGAAGTTAGTGGAGCCCCAGAGGGCCTGATGCTCTGGCTCTGTGGTACCAGCACCCACACCCCTGTCACCGTGAGAGGGTGTCCCTCATCTGGCAGTAGCTTCTCCCATCATCTCAAATGCTACTCGTTAGTGGAGGCCAACTCATGGCAGTGAAATCGAAGTTTCGTGGGGACTTCCTCCAACCGCTCTTTGACGTGACTCTTTGACAGGGTGTTTGTTGAGTGTGTCATGGGGGTGCAGGGCTGAGCGTCACACTGCACAGACAGCCCTGGTGGGCACCTACGCGCCTCCCAGGAAGGGCCTCAGCCCCCACCCAGACAGCTGCCTGCTGCCAGCTGCACCTCTGAGCAAGGCACGGAGCTGACTGGGAATTTGTACTTAACATTTCACTTGCTGTTTACAAAATCAAAAAAAAAAAAAAAAAGAGGAGAGATGAGTGGGAAAGAAAAAGAATAGGTGAACAAGTTTAATGGACTTCCCGTTTTGGTGTGTAATGGCCCTGGTGACACCGGTTCAACCATATTGCATAAAAACTTCCCTGCAGGGCTGTGCCGCGGCCAAGTGGCTGACGGGAAGCGGGTAAGGAAGGCTGCTTTGCAGCACAGATGTGGGGCTGTCACTTCGCTAAGCGCTGGCAAATGAAGTTGCCTGTCCCAACTCTCTAGTCAGAAAGGAGGACAGGACGGCAGCATGTGAGGAGGGAGATAGATGTCAGCCCATGTGTGAGACCGGCCGAAGAGCAAACACAGGAAGTTCCTGCAGTTGAATGCAGGAGGAAACACGTCTGATGACCTCATACGTGGCTCCAGCGCCCACCTAGGGACATCTGGGGGTGTGGGGGTGGTGTGGAATCTTCTCTGCCCTGTTCAGCAAGGAGGCGAGGCTGTTATTTGGTCTAATAGCACTGCCCTGACCAAACCCTGCCTGGAAGAATTTCAGATTCCATCCCTGGAAAGCCCTCCCCCCAGCAACATCCCAGAAGAGGAAATGGGGAGGAGAAATGGAAGACTCAAACCCATAAAAACTCCAGTCTGGGACAGTGCTGTGACCTAGAAGGCTAAGCTGTCTGCAGCGCCGGCATCCCATATGGGCACCAGTTCAAGTTCTGGCTACTCCTCTTCTGATCCAGCTCCCTGCTAATGCACCTGGGAAAGCAGTAGAAGATGACCCAAGTGCTTGAGCCCCTGCACCCACATAGGAGACCTGGAAGAAGCTCCTAGCTCCTGGCTTTGGATTGGCCCAGCTCCAGCCAATGTGGCTATTTGGGGAGTGAACCAGGGATGGAATCTCTCTCTCTCTCTCTCTCTCTCTCTCTCTCTCTCTTTTCTTATCTCTAGTCTCTCTGCTTTTGAAATAAATAAACCTTAACAACAACAACAACAACAAAAAGCCAGCAGTCTGAATGCAGCCTGGGTCTGGGTTCTTTGCTGAGATGCCTGCCTGGCCCATGGATTACTCTCTTCACTAAACGTCACTAGCCTGTTACTGCCAGTCTCTGCCTCATGTCAGAGATCGTCTCATCTTTCCTGACGGAGAGAAGATGAAAACCTCTGTTCCAGCCGGCTCTGATAAAAATTGTCCCAAAGTCTATGCAGCAAGCATAATACTCAGCACAAAATCAGAGTGGAAAATAAGAACGTCCATTATGTTTCTAGAACAAGCTGATTCCTGCGAATTTCCATTCAGCCTGGTGACAGAAAACCCATCTGAGTCAAGCTGTGGTTGTTTCAGTAACTAGAGTTTTCTGTGTCCGTTTAGATGTTTGGGGATCAATTCGGAGGGTTTTTTGCCTTCTCCCTTCCAGGGGGGTTTTCGTGGCGTGAAGGGAATGCAGCTCCTTAGGCCTTAGCAGCTCTGTTGACGTGGCTGAGAGCTGTGTTTTCGGGCCTCGGTGGTTGGGTCCCCGTGACAGCATCCTGGAGACACTGCCTCCCCATCTGGTCCCCAGTCAGAGGATCCCTGGTGTTTTCAGGGCTGCATCACTGTCCTACTTGCTGAGCCCCTCCCAGGTCTGCCAGCTCTCTCAGCCACCTCCATATCCACCCCCCTGGGGCTGGGCAGCCACTGCAGAGCGCCCATGACAGAGCGAGAATTTGTGAAGGATAATGAGCTTCCGTGATACCAGCTGAGATACAGGAACATACCCCCAAGTCCGAATGGGCCTTTGTGATAGGCAGGCTAATGGTTGCCGGAAGATGCCTACATCCTGCTCCCCAGAGCTACAGTTATGTTAAGGCAAGGGTGAATTACAATTGGAGATACAAGGTTGTTAATCAGCTGGCTCGAGAAAGGAACATTATCTTGACTTATCCCCATTGTCTCAGCTGTAATTACAAAGGTCTTTAACTGTGGAAGAGGGGAGAAGATTTGAGAGAGGGGTGGGTGTTTGCCTTAGCGATTAGGATGCTCACGTCCCACATCTGTGTGCTCCAGTTTGAGTGCTGGTTTCACTCCCTGTTCCAGCTTCCTGCTAAAGTGCACCCTGGGAGGTGGCAGGGGACAGCTCAAGTAGTTGGGTCCCTGCCACCTCTAAGGGAGACCTGGACTGAGTTCCTGGCTCCTAGATTTGGCCCAGCCCAGCCTCTGCTGTTGCAGGCATTCAGGATGCGAACCAACAGATGGGAGCTCTCTGTCTCTTTCTATTCCTATCTCTATTTCTCTGCCTTCCAAATAAACAAAATAAATTTTTTAATTACAAAAAAAGAAGAATGTGTGAGAATGGTACAACATGAGGAAGACTCCACTGACCACTGCTGTTTTCGTCCATGGAAGGGGCCATGAGCCAAAGGATACAGGAGGCTTCTAGAACTGGTTTTTTGTTTTTGTTTTAAGATTTATTCATTTATCTGAGAGGCAGAGTAACAGAGGGAGAGAAAAAGAGAGAGAGAGGTCTTCCAACCACTATTCACTCCCAAAACAGCCATAATGGCCGGAGCTGGGTAGATCCAAAGCCAGGAGTCTAGAGCTTCTTCCGGGTCTCCCACGTGGGTGCAGGGGCCCAAGCACCTGGGCCACCCTCCACTGCTCTCCCAGGCCATCAGCAGGGAGCTAGATTGGAAGAGGAGCAGCTGGGACTTGAACTGGTGCCCATATAGGATGCTGGTGCCTCAGAAAGAGGCTTAACCTACTACGCCACGACATCAGCCCCTAAAATTTTTTTGAAAAGGCGAGAAATCTGGTTCTCCCCTAAAACCTCCAGAAGGGAATACAGCCCTGCCAGCACCTTGATGTCAGCCCAGTGAGGCCCTTTTGGAGTTGTAGCTCCTAGAACCACATGATAAGAAATCTGCTTTCAGCCACCTGGCTTGGCATCATTTGTTTCAGCAGCAACAGGAAACAAATACACTTTCATTGTCATCGGCTTCCCTGAGCGTTCCCCGGGGGCTCTCAGAGACCCATTTCTGCTCTCTCTGCGCTGCTTTTCTTTCCAGCGGGTTCTCTGACCAACAATCTATTACCTTCAAATCTGTTGGGAGCCGTGTTAACATTATGATCTGGGTCTCTGGCCTTTGCCCACCGAAAATTAATAGCAAGGTTGTCTCAGTCTGTCATCTGTTGATAGCAGAAACAGCAACTTCAACAACCTAGTGCTTGTCTCTTGCATAAGAGAAGTCAGCTTTTAACACTTTTTAGAGAGGAACCAGTCCTCATGGTCTATTGGCAATGGGGAACTGTTTCTCTTTCTTTTGAAATAAAAATGATTTCTATGACAAGTTAATTACATTATGGAAGTTTTTTTAGTCAAATTAAAGCATTTCCTAGAACATTTTACGACTTCACTTTGGAACTTTAGCACATCACATTGTCACTCTGAAAGTCCCTGCGGTCGTCAAGAGCTAGACTGCACTTTGTTTCCATTTTGGGGAAGCTGGGGCTGCCCTAGCCCTGCCTCCAAGTCACATTTCAGAGCAATGCCGTCTGTCCTCCGGGCCTGGCTGGCTTCAGAGAGCTGTGAACCGGCTTTGCCCAGACACAGCTTCCCATCGTCCTCACCTGCATTTGAAATCCTTAGTCCTGGAAGGAAAACAGAACACCACCAGAGGATGCGGATTTAATCACTGGAGGAGGCGGTCTGCAGAGGTGTGGCCATTAGAGACTGAGGCAGCCCTCAAACATGGCTGGGGGGCCTGCGCTGTGACGTAGAGGGTAAAGCCGCTGCCTGCAGTGCCGGCATCCCACATGGGCGCCAGTTTGAGTCCCAGCTGCTCCACTTCTGATCCAGCTCTCTGCTGTGGCCTGGGAAAGCAGCAGAAGATGGCCCAAATCCTTGGGCCCCTGGAACCGTGTGGGAGACCCGGAAGAAGGTTTTGGCTCCTGGCTTC